AATTTTTTGGAGATCACCAAAAGGCATTCCGACCTGGAGCCAATGTGTCTCTATGGAGGCTGAAGAGTGGGGACGCCTCACTGAAGCTGCCTGGAGTCCAGCTGGAGGAAGCAGGAGAGTACCGATGTGAGGTGGTTGTCACCCCTCTGAAGGCACAGGGAATGGTTCAACTTAAAGTTGTGGGTGAGTGTCTCGGGGCAGTGCCCTATAGTTCCCATGGTGTTGGAGTTAACAACAACAAAACCCAAACACCTCTTTGAGCTCCACTTTCCTGTATTATAAAATGGTCTGATAATACGTGGATGAACTTGGTGGCTGTATTAGTTTGCTAAGGCTGCCATAACAAAATACCATTGACTGGGTGGCTTTAAACAACAGATGTTTATTTCTCACACTTCTGGAGGCTAGAAGTCTGAGATGAAGATGTCAGCAGGATTGGTTTTTTTCTGAAGCCTCTCTCATCTGGCCATCTTCTCCCTGTGTCTTCACATGGTCTTTCCTTTGTGCCAATATCTGTGCCCTAATTTCCTCTTCTTATAAGGATACCAATCATATTGGATCAGAGCCTACCCTAATAACCCCTTTTTAACTTAATTGCCTCTTTAAATAACCTATCTCTAAATACAGTCACATTCAGAGATACTGGGAATTCTGGGAGGACATAAGAATTTTAGGAGGATGTAATTCAATCCAGCATGGACCCTCCATAATTGTACGTAAGGCTTTGAATGTTTTGTCTATAGTAATTTTGGGAGTGAGAGGCATATTAATTAGGATTCACTTCCTCTGCAACTGACAGAGGAATAACAGTGACAGTGGCTATATATATAGCCAACTGACGATGGCCGTATATATAGCCACTGTTCTTCCAGGCTTTATGTATCTATAGAAAGGGTCTACATAGGAGACAGGGTCTCGCTCTGTTGCCCAGGCTGGAGGGCATGGCACAATCATAGCTCACTTCAACTCCAGGGCTCAGGTGATCCTCCTGCCTCAGCCTCCTGAGTAGCCAGGACCTCGGGTGCATGCCACCACGCCTGGTTAATTTTTACACTTTTGTAGAGATGGGGCCTTGTGTTGCCCAGGCTGGTCTCCAACTTCTGGCCTCAAGAGATCCTCCTGCCCTGGCCTCTCGATGTGCTGGTATCACAGGGATGAACTACCATGCCTGGCCAACAGTGGCTTTTAAAGACATTAATAGATTTTTTTTTTTAGGACAGTTTTGGATTTACAGAAACATTGCAAAAATAGTATGAGAGTTCTCATATCACTCTCATCTTGCATACCATTTCCCCTATTATTAACATCTTGCATTCGTTTGGTACCTTGATATAATTAATGAACCCATATTGACATTTTACTATAATTAAAGTCTGTAGTTTATTCCTATTTCCTTAGTTTTTACCTAATGTCCTTTTTCTGCTCTAGGATCCCATCAGAATACATTGCATTGAATTGTTATATGTTCTTAGGCTCCTTTTTGCTGTGACAGTTTCTTAGACCTTATTTTTGATGTCCTTAACAGTTTGGTGAGGGTATTGGTCAGGTATATTGCAAGATGTCACTCAATTAGGATTTGTCTGCTGTTTTCCTCATAATTGGACTTGGGTTATGGGTTTTTGGAGGAACATTGCAGAGGTAAACTGCTATTTTCATCACATCAAATCACATGACTTATGACTGTTGATGTTGACCTTGACCATGTAGTTGAAGTAGTGTTTGTCTGGTTTCTCTACTGAAAAGTTACTCTTCCCCCTATTTTCATACTGTACTCTTTGAAAGGAAGTCACTCTGTGCAGCCCACACTTAAGGTGGGGAGTTACTTATGTTCTTCCTCCTTGGGGGTGGAGTATCTACATAATTTTTTAAAGAATTCTTCTGCATGGGAGATTTATCTCTTTTCTCCTATTTATGAATTTATTCAATCATTGATATCAATAAGGACTCAAGGATATTTATTTTATACTTTGTGTTATAATGCAGTACTACTTTATTTTTTTCTCAAATTGTTCCAGCTTTGGCCACTGGGAGCTCATTCGCTTGGCTCTTGTGTCACATTGACATACCCCAATCATTGTAAGATTTTGTTTTATTTTATTATTTTATTTTTTGTTTTATTTAATTTTTGGAAAATCCATATCAAGGATTTTGTTTGATTTTAAGCACTTTTTACTTTTTGGCACTATAAGATGCTCCAGACTCATATTGTATATTTCCTCTCGTGTATATTTCCTGGTTCTAGTCCTAGAACCAACCAATACTCCAAGAAACTTTGGTTCCTTTTATTGGAAAATGATATTAGAAACCAAGACCAAGTACACTAAGTGTACTTTTTGCTACTGAGGTATCATTGAATTCTAGATCCTCTCAGCCAACAGAGCAAAGAAATATATGTATGTGTACTAACCTCTGCATATATACATATCTATAAATATTTCTATGTGTAACCATCTGTACCTATATTAAACATTTGTTCTCACTGATGTCTCCAACTTTAATCCATTACCACATAGATCCTTCTCTTGCTTATCTGTAAACTCCCACTCCAACAGTGAGAAACCTGTACCCACCATACTCTGTTTATTTGTTTAATTATTAACCTGTACTCCCGTAAGAAACAACTTTATCTACTAGAGTACAGTGCTTCTTGGCAATTCCTTTTTTTTTTTTTTTTTTTGG